GATAAAATGTTACATCTGATGGTGTCTATATTCCCTCTGAAGTGGGCTGCTAACTCCTCACAAAGAGTGTCTGAGGGGTTTTCTGGGAAGAAATTAGAACCACTATTTAAAACATTAGCAATTGTCGAAAAAAATACTTTAGAATTATTTCTGTTTTCTGTAATCATTTTTGAAAAGTAATTGTTTCTGGAGTCTCTAACTGCTTTATTGTATGATGTTAACTGTTCATTACATATGTGCTTATTGATTGTGATCTTGTGTTTCCTCCATCTCCTCTCTGCCACCCTGCAAGTTCTCTTTAGCTGCTTTAGATTTTCATTTATCCAAGGAGATGTATGTTTTGACTGTAGTAGGAGGTGTGACGCGAGGGCTGGTGTGTTGGACAACGGTGGTCGTGGACAGGCCAGGCTCATTAAAAGTGTGCGAGTTCCTTGTCTATTTAAATGGAGTCCATCTGGCCCAAACAGATGCCTCCTCCCCTAAAAAATTTTAAAATTGTCAATAAAAGCAATGTTGTGCTGCACAGTGACAGAGGAAAGCCAGTTGTTCAGAGGTAAAAGCCGGCTAAAACGTTCGATTCCTCTGTCGACGGTGGGGATGGGCCAGAGATAACAAAGATTAAAATGGTGGGTAAAACCATGTTTGAGGAGTTCAGACTGCTGCATGCAGGTGTCGTTAGTGCCGGCATGGATGATGATTCTACTCACTGTTGGGTGATTCTGGATGAGGTCTGGGATCTGTTGTGCAACGTCCATCACTGTTGCTCGGGGAAAACAGTGAGTAACGGCTCCACTCATCCGGACGTGTTTGATGATGGAGTCTCCAATGATGAGGGTCCTGGGTGGTGGGTCAGCTGGTTTAGGGTGAGCAGAGGATCCATCCAGGACCTGCTGGATGTTGTGCAGCGGTTCCCTGGGACTGCAGCGATGGGCCTTCTGTGCCGAGGGCTCCCTCCGTGGGTTCGGGGTAAAGTGCACGGCTCCTCGGCGGGTTTGAGCTGCAGTCCGGGGCTTGATGGGACATGGCTGGCCGTTGGTGCCCGACAGCTGCTCTTGCGGTGGTTGGGTGGAGTTAGAGGGTGGTACCGCGGAGCTACTGGGCCCGGAGGCCGTCAGCGGAGGGAAGTCCTTCTCCAAGGGCTCGAAGCGGTTGGCGAGCGGGAGGCCAGGTGGATGAGATCGATGGCCGGAGCTCCGGGCCTCCCCGTCGCGGCGGCAGCCAACCGTCGACCAGACACCCTGGAGCGTTGGAGTGGAGCAGAGCGGCAACTTTGGCTCCCTGTTGGAGCCAACGCGCCGCCTCAGCAGCAGTTTCGCGGGCCTCCAGGTGGGCTCGGGGCGCCGGAACAACTGCTGCGGAGGGGGCGTGTCAACAGGGCAGTCTGTTATACACTGCTGAAGGAGATGCAAATGCATCGTTTTTCTAAATAAAGGATGCAAGTACCTTTATCTGTTCTGGACTCAAAGAAAAGCCCAAGTCTAAATAGTCCAAATTTGATGCCAAAGCCGTTTGAAACGAGCCGTCATCATCTTAGTTTTTGTGTTAAGTTGCAGTAACATCCTGCCCACCTAAGTGATAGAGACCGTACAGGCCTGTTGAGGCTCTACTGGAGCGTGGCTCGGCCGACCTCGTGCTTCTGCTACAGTCAGTCTAGATCAGGGGTATCAAACCCATTTTAGCTCAGGGGCCACACTGCGAGAAATCTAGTCCCAAGTGGGCCGGACCGGTAAATTAAAAACACTTCAGATTGTTTCCTTTGTTTTAATACAGTCAGTATAAAACAAGGCTGAAGTCTGAGGACAATGTATCCAAAATAATACAAGTACAACATCTGAAGTGTACTTGAAAATTTGAAAAAAAATAAATAAATCAATAAATAAAAAAAACATTCCTTAGTGATTCAGAGCTTACAGGTCACATGGCTAGATCGGTTTCATGCAGCACTTAAAGTATATTTGACTCATTTTACTTTACATCTTTTAGCTTTCACCAGCACATCAATATCAGAAGTCACATCCTGAGTGGCGGCCAACTTCAGGATGCGATTCAAGTTCTTGTGTGAGCCTTGAGCGCAGCTTTGTTTTATTTATACTCATTACAGAGAAAACTTGCTCACAAAGATAAGTTTATTTTCACTCTACATTGTAAAGTATGAAAATAAAGTTTACACATCCATCTCGCGGGCCGGATTTAACCCGCTTGCGGGCCGGATCCGGCCCGCGGGCCGCAAATTTGACACCCCTGGTCTAGATTGCTCATTCTGAGTTTGGTTCACTTCATCAACATCTTTCCAAGCTTTTGGGCTTTAATTGTGATTAAAATCAATGAGAGTTAAAGATATCAAAATACCTTTATTACAATAGAGTCAAAATAGAATCTAATGCAAAAGTTGGCTCCGTTTAAGAGATGGACATCAAAGTAATATTTTGTAAAAGTCTGAATTTAGTTTAAAACACACCTAAAAGCCTGAATAAAAGAGAGACGGGGGTCATGATGGGGACACGTTTTAGCACGTCACAACTGTGTGTTTTGTCCCGGTTCTGCCATCGATGCTAGTTTGTGTGTGTGTGTGTGTGTGTGTGTGTGTGTGTTTATCTAGAGGAGGATGTGTGTGTGTGTCCATGTGTTGTGACTTTTTTAGACATTAGACTTTTGAGAGCAAAGCAAAGGCCAGAAAGTTTCAGAGGTTTTTGTTCATGATTCACTTATTTACCAGCTTTCTCCGGTCACATAAGCAGCACTCAAGTAGCCAAGCACAAATGAATCGTATTACATCATCCAGCGCTCTCCAGACCTGCCAGAGTTCTCTTTCCATAGTTCACTGTTCACCTTTTGTTAGGACCAGCAGTTACTTGGAAAATACCCAGACTTTACCTACAGTTCGTCTGAATTTCTATTAGGTGGAAATAAAACTTGAAATATTAGTTATCTCTAGTTAGTGATATTTAACACTCAGCTGTTTTTAATGGCATTAAACTGGTCATTGCATTTTCTTTGCTTAGATTATGTGTAGTTTCTCATGCAGAGTGTTTTTCACATCTAATTACCATTTGTAGCACATTGCACTCCCCGTGACTTCTGGGTAACAGCGTGTCTACTCCTGAGCTAGTAAAACTTCACCCAGCTCACTTATTAAGCTACAGGAAGGCTAAATCAATATTAAAAGTGCTCATGTCAAAGGCTGTGGAAGCTATAAAGAGAGGAAGTAAGGGAAGCATGAGAGGATTTAAAAAAGAGAGGTGTCAAGGGGATGTGTGAAAGGCAGCAAGGAACGACTAATTCTCCTCTCACAGTCTGTGGAGCACAAATGCTCCAGTAAGAACACCAAAAAGAAGAGAAAGATGATCAAATGTGAGCGGCAGGTAGAGCAGAAACAAAGAGAGTAAAGCTGTATTTTCTATTCCTGACAGGTGGAGTGATTGATCAAATCCTCCAGAAAGCAAACATGGATGAGCTGCCTTGCATCATATCAAGAAATAAAAGAACTGAATGGATATGCTTTATTCCCATTTGACCAAATTAACCAGGTGCTGCGCTCAAGCTAAAGTCTGGTTTAAACCAGTACAGTTCAGTTTTACAGTGATGGGGTTCATGGCTCTTTCATGGGAGCCGTTCAGAAGACTGGCTCCTTTGTATGAACTGAAGCCAACAGAGCGGGGTGTGTGCGTGTGTGTGTGTGTGTTTGGGGAGTGGGGGGGTGGGGGTCCAATGGCAATGTGAGGGCGCACAGGGTTGGTTAACGTTCCTCCCAAGATATGTACATAAGCACGTGTTTCTATGGTTCCTCCTACGTCCGTCGCAGCGGTGGGTGGGGTTTCAGCGGGTGAGTTTGACCCACTTCCCGGGAGGTTTGTTAAGATGAACGGCTCTCTGCAGGGACTCGGTTCTCATCATTCACTTTGAAAACCCGTTCAAAAGATTCGATTCGTTCGTGAATCGTCACATCACTACAGTTTTATAGTTGGAACAAAGTCATTGATGGCCAGTAGAAGGTCATTTTTCTAAATGAGCTCTAAAAGCACCAGAACCGCTGATAAATGATAAACAAATGGCATTTAATTTCAGCAACCTTTGAGAGTCATCTTTACCTTTATCCACCCACAAGGAGGACCAACTGTCAGATGGGTCAGTTGTAACCTGATAGATAAGATCTGAACACACATGTGAATACTCTACTTTACTTGCTTTCCAAGTACAGAAACATTTGATATGTGAGTGTCTTCCTTGTCACTCCTGTGGTCAAATGACCTGATGTCCACGGTGTAGCTGCTGCATTTACCCAAATGTCTTTTTCCCACAAGGGTGTGTGATTGCACGTATGCAGCTCTTCCAGACTTAGCCTACAGTTCCTCCATGTGTCCCATGGATATGCATAGATGTTCTCTCCTTCATCCCTCAGATCTCCGTCCTCTATCTGTGGTGCCACTTGTCCTTTTTCATGACTGCAAGAGCGACACCCTCCATGGGCTCTACAGCTAATTAGAAATGTTGTGTAATCTTGTTGGAATCTGAAGTCATCCTAATGATTCAAACTGCCAGGTGGGGTCTTGAGTATAAATTGTATCCCATTCAAAAATGGTAGAAACATGTAGAAGATCTGTAAGCTGAAGCAGGAACATTTTCTAATGTATTTTTTTTTAAATTAGGGACCACAAGCTGAGGCCCTTTAGTATTTTCATAGTTTGTGTAGATTATATAAAATCCTGAATATTAAAGAAAACTAAAACGGTTGTGTACCGTCGGCTATTGGTGATAGTTTTCCACTGTTTGGAGTTTCGAAACGTCTTTTTGATCTCCGGTGCAGTGGAAGATGAAACTCTGAGACCATGGCAACAGCCACACGGGGTGAAAAGACTTTTCTTAAAGCTGTTTTATGTCAAACCCTTACGTCTCCTTTCTGTTCTGACAGAAAAGAGTATTGATCTAGTTTCTGCTTTCTCACACTCCTGTTATCTACTCTACCTCCCACCTGTCCTCTGTCCCTCTCCCATGATCCTCAGTGTCAGCAGTACCGGGAAAGCACATCAGTCCTGGAGAACCAGCCGGCAGGCACATTTGTCCTGCAGGTTCACGCTGTGGATGCAGACGAAGGCTCCAACGGCCGGGTCACTTATGGCTTCATGCATAAAGACTCTACAGTGCCTGCATTCAGTATCCACCCTGATACCGGTACTAGAACACACACACACACACACACACACACGCACGCACGCACACACACACACACACGCCTTTATCATGGTAAGAGATCATTGTGTTGTTTCAGCATTTCTGTGATGTTTGATACAATAAAATACATTTAGTGGCTAAGAACCAGTTGGTGGAAAGGCTTATGTAAAATGAAAGAGTTCACTACATCTTCAGTAATGTTTTTAACAAAAAATAACATCCATTTGTGATTGCTGATATCATTTTGGTTAAAACATCCTCAATAATTCAAAAACTCTGTCTTATGGGCTCGACACACGGGAGGCGACCCGCGGCAGCGGCAGCGGCAAAGCCGTCTACGCGTTCTGTTCCATGGCGAAATCGAAACTTCCGTTGTTTTGCTTGGCTGTGTCAGGTTGGAGGGAATTAAGGTTATTTAAGCGGTTCAGAGTTAATAGTGGTAGATATGATGTTTCACAAGGTGCTGCTAGAGTTATGTGAAATCTTACTTCTGATTTTACTATAAAACATAATAATAATCAACTTGTCCTCCATGTTTGCTCGGAGGTGTACGGAGCATCCTGTCCGCTGATTGGTCAGTGAATGAAACCTCCGTTGATTGGTCCTCGTCCGAGCGACAGCGATGAAAAGTTGAAAATGTTTCAACTTTCTTGGATCGCGTCGCTGGGTCGCCTGTGCACGACACGTGCACGTGCGCAAAATTTCCCACGCACGTTTTTCGTGTTTCGCTTAGTAGGAGGGAGACCCACGATTATCGCTTTGTCGCGCACGTCTCATTGAAAATGAATGGAGGAGAGGCGATGTCGCCTCCCGTGTGTCGAGCCCATAAGTCAGAACATTGTCTGACCATCTCATATGTTTCCAGGAATAATTGTGACGGCCAGGAAATTTGATCGTGAACGCCAGCGGGAGTTCGCAGTGACCGTGACCGCCACAGACCAAGCAGCGGATCCTCTGATTGGCATTTGTCAGCTAAACATTCTCATTCTGGACCAGAACGACAACAGCCCCAAGTTTGAAAACATCCGATATGAATGTAAATATAAAATTCTGCGCTGAAGAAGCTAAACACTGTAAACGATTTAAATTTACCTGAAAGTTATTCTGTATGACCGGTGTCAGAGCTTGGTCCTCATTGCCGGCAGCAAGTCAGACTCGTTCCCAGTGAGAGTTGGACTCTGCCAAGGCTGTCCTTTGTCACCGATTCTGGTCATAACTTGTATGGACAGGACTTCTTGGTGCAGCCAAGGTGTTGTGGGGATCCCTTTTGGTGGTCTGAGGATCAGATGTCTGCTTTTTGCAGATGATGTGGTGCTGTTGGCTTCATAAGAACATGATCTCCAGCTTTCGCTGGAGCAGTTCACAGCCGAGTGGGAATCAGCTCCTCTAAATCTGGGACCATGGTCTTGATTTGGAAAAGGGTAGAATGCCTTCTCCAGGTCAGAGAGGAGGTCCTGCCTCAAGTGGAGGAGTTGGAGTATCTCGGGATCTTGTTCACGAGTGAGGGAAAGAGGGAGCGTGAGATCGATAGATGGATTGGTGCTGCATCTGCAGTGATGTGGGCGTTGTACCGGTCTGTCGTGGTGAAGAGAGAGCTGAGTCAGAAGGCAAAGCTCTCGATTTACCGGTCGATCTACGTTCCTACCCTCATGAGATCACGGATACAAGTGGCCAAAATGAGTTTTCTCCACAGGGTGGCTGGGCTCTCCCTTAGAGATAGGGTGAGAAGCTCAGTCATCCGGGAGGGGCTCGGAGTAGACCCGCTGCTCCTCCATGTCGAGAGGAGCCAGTTGAGGTGGCTCGGACATCTGGTCAGCATGCCTCTTGGACACCTCCCTAGTGAGGTTTTCCGGACACGTCCAACTGGGAGGAGACCGAAGGGAAAACCCAGGACACGCTGGAGGGACTTCTCGGCTAGCCAGGGAATACCTTGGGATTCCCCCGGATGAGCTTGCCCAAGTAGCTAGGGAGAGTGAAGTCCGTGTGTCTCGGCTTGGGCTGCTGCCCTCGCGGCCCGACTCAGGCTAAGTTGCTAAAAATGACTGAATGGATGGATGGTTTCAGAAGTTTTAAACACCCATTGTTTGTGTAACTTTCTTCCAAAGATCCACATTTCCCTTTTTTAATGTGACATCAAGCTTTCTGAAGGTCATTCAGTATTTTTCTTTGTTAATGATCAGTTTATATGTTAACAGAACTGACTCATTCCCTGAAAGGTTATTCAGTCATTGATGAGTAACATAAGAAGCAAAATAACAAAAACTCCATCCAAAGTTGGGTCATGGAGATAAACGGCCCAGGGGGAAACACAGCCACACAGCAAGGAGTCACAGGTTTGAATCCTGGCTGTGGCCTTTCTCTGTGGAAGTCACTTTTTCTCCCCATGCTTTGGTTTTCACTGATTTCCTACTGCAGTCCACAAGCATGCAGGTTAATGGAAGACTCAGTGTGTCCCTGTGGTGGACTGGTGATCTGTCCAGGGTGCTCCTCCCCTCTTGCCTGAGAGCTGTTGTAGTAGACACCAGCTCTCCTTGGCCCTAATGTGCAACAAGAGTTTAAGATCATGAGTGATGTCTGTCTGCTATCCTTCCCCAACACTGGACCCAACTCTCCATCCTGTTGTCCAAGATGTAGGTCTGATGAAAAGGTTCCAAGATGCTCTGGTACCAAATACATGTATAGTGGTTGTTTAGACAGCCTGTTTTTCCTCAGAAGCCCACAATGAAACATCCCTTCAATTTAAATTAGTGAGGCTGTTCCTTTTAGTTGTGTCCATCTAAGTGACTCCATCACTGCCCACAAGGACGCAGACGTTTGTTAGGAAAATGATGAAATACCTAGATGCCGCCCAGCCATTGGATGGTGGTTACCTCAAGTGTCACCTCTTTGCTACAAGTTTGCAGTAAAAGATATACCAGATATGTATTTTAGGGCTCATAGTGAATCAGCATCGGAGGCTCTTAACCGTGATAGCCTCCACCGGGGGCTGACAACCCACACAGCTAAGCCCCTAGGATTACAGAGCTACTTGTAGTCTGCTACCACATTAAAGTGGTAATTCTGCAGACGGGACAAAAATACCTCATATCTGTAAAATAGTGAAATACTGAATTGAAAATGAGTAAAAAAAAAAAATAAATAAAAATAAAAACAGAAAAACAATTTTTAAAAATCGACGTATATCTTCATTTCTTTGGGGCAAATCTGAAATTGCTTTATTGGTGCTGAATCAGAATGTCTAACTTGTTAGTTTGAAATATTCTGTAGCTGTTTTCTCTAATAGCATACAGCTCTGAGTACTGAAACAATAAGAAAACTAGTCCAGAGGACAGCCTTACCGAGCCGGTGCCCACGACTATCTGTTTTTCCAGACTTCCTTCGTGAGGATACCATGATTGGAACCAGTTTCCTGCGGGTGGCAGCTCATGATGATGACTTTGGAACCAATGCAGCCGTTACGTACAGCATGTCCAGTGAGCAGCCCGAGTACCTCAGGGTCAGCCCACTAACAGGCTGGGTGTTCGTCAACCAGCCCATCTCACAGGTACACACCGGACATCTCACCTGTCTAACTGCAAAGATTTTATTATGGATGATTTATTTTCAGTACAGCGTTTCCATGTGACACATGAGAAAGTCATTTATGTGGCAAAGAAATTCAAAGATTGCTGGATGCCGTTTGTTAGTGTGACAGTGAGTGTCCTGTCACAATGTCCCGATTGATCATGCGCCCTGGCTACTTGGCCAAGGGGATGTCACTTTGGCTGACTGGTTAGAGCGTATGACTCTCACCCGGGAGTCTGGGGATCGAATCCCGCCCGGGCCCTCGTTTATCCACCTTGCCACATTAGTGTCTTTAAATCCTAAAGCAGCTCTGCTTTGCTGTGTAGGGAACTACATATCTTGGTGGCCTGCCTTTTTTCAGGGTGCAACGAGACTGTTTTTCAGACCTCTTTCTGAGGTGGTCTGCTTCAGGCTGACCAGGGCCAACACACCCAGCAAATTCACACCTTCCATTAGAGCAAGCCTCTGATTGGTGGGTAGAATCAGCCCACATGGGCTTAAGGCATGCTCAATTCATTGTCATTCATTATCATGCTGATTACCTAGAAGCTGAAAATGTCTCTGACTGCATTCCTTGCATACCTAAGCAAGGATGTGTGGAATCAACCGGGCCAGGCTGGGGCCGACTGGAGCTATCCGGGCAGGGCCGACCAGGTACAGATGGGAATGGCCCTTAAAGATGCTTGAAAACAAAATGGGATGTTTCCCATCCAAGGGCCACTTTAAAAGCTTTGGTAAACTGTACAACATCATCCAGCTACAAAGTGGTGGCTTGTTTTTTTACATTAAAATAGCTTATAAAATGACATTTGAGCCTATATGAGATCTGTTTATGTAAAGGAGTTTGGAGTTTTGACCCTCAGCAGGTGGCATCAACTCCTTTTTGTTGTTTAGTGGGGAAGAAGATTTGTGGATTTGATGGTTTCCTGAGTTGCACAAGTCAAAACTGAGGACACTCCTTAAGAAATAAATCATAACATTAGGAAATTGCCGTGGTACTTGGTGCAAAAGGAGATGAGCAAAATTAAGAAAAAAGCTCAATAAAGTAATGATATAGAGAGGCAATCATAAATGAAATGGCTAATATATACAAGACAGTGTAGGTACCGATCAGGTCCGATTTTACTTGCAAGACTTATTTAACCTTTGTGTTTTATCACCCAACCACATCGTGTCCGTTGCCAGCCTCTCTGAAAGTGGCCCACATTAGACAACCCCATACATTCTCTGTTCTATTTATTTAGTACACCACACATTAGCAACCACTCTTTACAGATAGCAAACACTCAGAACTGCTTTAACTCTAGACGTCCCAGAATTCTGACTTCACTAGAACTCCCAGTAACCGTCAGATTGACGGTTGTCATCTTGGTCCTTAAATGCAAGATGACGAAGTCGAGCAAAATGGTTCAAGTGTGCTGTTAATGAACTCATTATGGATGTGTGAACCTAATAATATGCTAAGAAAATATCTTTTTTCTCCCAACCCTTAAAAATAAGTCTCTCTTTTCCCTGGGCGACTGACACAACTCCTTTCTGTGTGTGTGTGTGTGTGTGGGGGGGGAGGGGGGGGGGGGGGGGGGGGGGTTGAACGGAGAGTGAATGCGCGCGAGCTGGAAAGTTGGTTGCTTAGCGTCATCCTTGGGAAAACGTTACCATGTAAACAATACAGCCGTCAGATTGATGGCTTGCGGGAGACAAAGACAAAAACAGCTATATTTCTTTTTTGATACTTTATTTTGTAGAAATTATAACACAAAAATAAAGGAGACACAAAAATAGGAAAAGCCAGGACAACTTGAGGTCCATCTAACCAAAGTTATTACATATGAAAACAGTCTAAATGACTGCCTTGAAAGTTCTAACGTTAACTCTACAGTAAATGTCATAAAATCAACAAGGTGTTGGAAACAGTCACAAGAGATTCTGGTCCGTCTTGAGATGCCTAGCATCACTTACGCATTGGTTCCATTGTGCCGTCGAAGACTGGTGTGGACTGCGATCACCTGTTGCACTTAAATGTGTTTTGTCGCACCATACGCTGGTGACGAATGTTTTTGTTCTGAATCCAACCAAACCTTGCCAACACTTGCGAGCATCATCTTGTGTGTGTGTGAATAAAAATAAAAACAACAGCACTGTGGTGTTTATTTTAATTGTTGCATGCAGTCATGTTTTTCTATTCTCCAATCTCTAAACGATGTCGGGTAAAACTAGCTGCTCCACCTTAGTCATAATGCTTCATTGTCATATGGAGTCTCAGGCCTAGTCCACACGTAGCCGGGGTTTTTGAAAACGAATATCCGCCCCTCCAGAAACTTGCATCCACACCACCTCGTTTTAAAACAAAACTCTGTCCACACGTACCCGGATAAATACGTTGTTAAGGACATGCCAGACCTGTAGGCGGCAGTACTTCCCCCGTTCTTAACCTCGTCCTTCATCTGTGGTCTTCCGCAAGGAGCAGTAATTCCGCTTGCAAAAACAAACAAGCAAAAAGCGCTTGGACAATTGATAAAGCGAGCGCAGCTCTGAGGGCATCCATGCTGTCGGCTAGTGTAAACACAGGTCGCACACGTGATGTCAGCATTTTTTTTGTCGCAGAAAGTGACGTTGCGGACCTTAAAACTCCGGTTTTGTCTGTCCACACGCAGACACCCAAAATGGAGAAAACGCAGATCTTCACTTTGGCCGGAGTTTTTAAAAAGATCCGTTTTCGTGTGAAAAAACTCAGTTTTCGTGTGGATGACAGGGCAAAACGTAGAAAAATATCTACGTTTTGGCAGATCCCCGGCTACGTGTGGACAGGGCCTGAATGAATGGTGCTGCTCGGGTCGATTGTAGGGCCCGGTTTCACCACAGAAACAAGTAAGTGTCCTGACCCATCCCAGACGCCTCAATAGAACCAATGTTATAGTTCATACAACAACCAAGGCCTCAGTCTCTTCAAACTTCTTTCCTCTCTTCCTTCTTCTCTCGATAACTGTTTAATTTGGGAGTGTGAAGTTGGTTGTAGAACTACTTTTAATTTGCTCAAAATGACCTCGCTTGCCTTTATTGTTGGGTTTCACATGACGTTGCCTCTACCTCACCAAATGCAGATGGGGGTCCGGAAGTAGCCGGCGCTGCACAAAACACTATTTTCTTTGGTGACTGAGCGTAAAAATGCCCAAACTCTATGTGGTCGATGGTTAATACAATCACTCTAATCGAGACAAAGACCAACGTTTGGCCCAAATGTAATGCACCACAAAAGACTTTGTTTAAAAGGCGTACTGAAAGAAGATGGCAGACGTGGATCAGTAATCTACGGCTTAAAACAGGAGCTGAAAGGACAATGCTGGAGTTTACAGCGACCGCTTTCTAACAGGTAGGAGATTACCGAGTGTTTTATTAAACAGTTGCTTAGAAACAGCCATAAAAACAGCAGGTTAACAGTTTCATACTGTTTTCATGTGTCCTCACTGCAAATAGCTTTCAGAGTGCTAATGTTTTTAGCAGTTAGCTTAGTGTTGTAACATGGCGTTTATACCTTATTGAAATCAAACTAACCAACCAGAAATGTGGATTTAAAAGGCATAAAAAGTGAGTTACGAGTAGATCCTAGCACATACTGATCATTAGCACAGTGTATGAAAACTGTGACTTTTATAACTACATGGGTCATAACCTAAAAGAAGATGTATTTTTACACGATATCGCATCTGTGCCAGCTCACGTGAAGCCTTAGTAAAATCGTTTTCATCTATCACGCCGTGTTGTATCTCTCTGTTTTGTTGCGGAGCAAAACACTTCCTGTCCCCATTTGAGGTTCACGCTGCTGCAGACATCACGTGAGTCACGTGAGTGAAACATTGCGATGACCAGTGTCATCCAGCACCCTTTGGTCCGAGCACCAATTTTGATTTTGCTGGAGAGTTTCTGGATTTTTGCTGTGAGGAAACAAGTAAATTCCTGAGTTATCAGTTGTCTGATGAGCATTTGCTGCATCACCTGCTAAGTTCAGCCTTTAGCAACGTGAATGGACCTGAGGCCTAATGTCTCGGAGCAGGGATAAAACGCTAACTCTTAAAGAATGACCTCTAACTCTGGGAAAAGACAATTTTCACTTACGGTTCTGAAGTTTTACACTTTGTACTCATATTATTGTATCAAAAGAGCAAAACATCATTTCCAGCATTTCTGCAAAGTAAAACTGAGCTTTTTGCTTCGTTGTGACTGAAGCTTTTCAACTATTTCAGTTATCATCTAATATGTGTGTTTACTCAGCCTGACTCAGCTGTCACTTTCACCCAATATCACACAAAATAAAAAAAATCTAAAGTGCTAACCGCAATCTGTGTGATCTAAACGGCCCTTCTGTAAATAACAAATTAAGAGCACAACATCAAGCCTCCTCCTCTTCCCTGTTCTGCTCTTCGTCTTCCACAGAGAAGCTACATCTCCAGGGAAATTGTGGCTACAGACGGAGGAAACAGGAGCAGTTCAGTGGAGCTGGCAGTTACCATCACCAACGTAAAGAACCAGCCCCCGCAGTGGGAGAACGACACTTACAGCGTGGTCATACCAGAAAACACTGTTCGGGACACACCCATTGTGGTATGTTGACTGGCACAAGAAATGGTACATTCCATGTTACCCGTGTTCATGCTTCCAGTTTTACTTCCTAATTCCTGTCATTCCTAATCAGCATGTGGGTGGACGTGCTGGCTACAGGTTCAGGAAACACGTCTTAAGGTTCACACCAACTCCGATTAGTTCAGTGTGCTCCATTGCTCAGTGCCTCTTTGAAGACACGAATAGACCGTGTTTCTAAAAGCTCTCATGAAAGCTATTAAGTCCATTAGAGTGGCTGATGAATATTTGAACCCAAATGGTGGTGGTGCAGCCAGAGGAACGTGGTTTATATGGGAATGTGTGGGATTTGTTGTGTTTGTGAGAGAAGCAGATAAACAGAGGAAGCACCATGGTCCCCATGGTTGTGTCAATGGAGATCTGGGTAGTTCTGGGTTGATTCCACTGTTATGGAAGGATACACAGACTCTTGGCTGTACCTTTTGTGTCGTGGACGTTTGAGGTTTTTATGTCCCAAATAAACACACAAATGTTCATCAGGTCTCTGTGCTTCTCAGGCTGTTCTGTGATTGTTTTTTCCTGGACTAAATGAGTAGATATAGGTCACCTACAAGCAAGCTCAAATCCAGAGTTGTTGGATTTCTTTTTATTATTTTAACTGGCTCCATCTGTTGAATTGCCTCTATCTTTAACAGTTTTAGAGAGAAAGGAGTATAAAGATATGTTTGCATCCGTTTGATCTCACAAGACGTCAGTTAGCTGCTGTTCTGTAAAAAGGTTAGAGGCTTGCTGATACTTTAGCGGTCGTTATTATGGGCTGTAAAACGTTGTCTTTTCCATTCAGAGGGATGAGTTTAACTGTTTTTCTCACTCCAGTTGTTGCTCAGAAGCATCTCTTCCTGTCTAGAGGGTCACAGCTGGTGTTCTGAAAATTCCTTGGATAACATGAAGAGTTGATGTCAAAACAAATCAATTTATTATTTTATTTTTAGTGATCCTGTTAGTCTGCCAGAGCAATAAATTATAACCAACATTTTATTAAGTGTCAATATATCTGAAATAACATCAGCTAGATCAAAACCCCTTCACAATACAGAAAAGGCCTGCTTCTGCATGCAGATATTGTAAATATTTTAAAGATGTCACATCTTTTCAGTTTCATAAAGTGGAGTTTCCAATTTCCAAACCAAAGTCTATGAAGTTTGAATGGAAAAATCACAGAGGAACTGAATCATTGAAAGCCTTCAGAAGACAAACAAGATTCTTAGAGATGTATGAAGTTCAACTACATCAGAAAAACCAAACATCCAAGAACTTCTGCTGGGAAAATGGGTCCAAAATGTACTCAAATGAAATCCCCTCGAAAACCATCCAAAATTGTAGATTCTTTGTTACTAAATAGATAAAAACAAATGAAATGTCTGTTAACTCTCTCTTTTTTACAAGTCTCTCCATAACATGCTGACCCTTCTCGTTGCTTTCTGTGTTGGTTTTTGTTTCAAACAGACCATCAAAGCCACCTCACCTCTTGGAGATCCAAGAGTAACTTACAATTTGGAGGATGGTATGGTCCCAGAGACCAACATGCCTGTCCGCTTCTACTTGACCCCGAACCGAGAGGATGGTTCGGCCTCCATCCTGGTTGCAGAACCCCTGGACTACGAGACCACCAGAAATTTCATTCTGCGAGTTCGAGCTCAGAATGTCGCTGCTGTTCCTTTGGCCGCCTTCACAACCGTCTATGTCAATGTCACTGGTAAGTTTTTTAATGAATGTTCTTCTGTTTATATTTCACATTCTTCCACATTGAGCAGGTTTAACCAGATTGTGCCTTTCAATTCAATGATTTTCGATTTTGATCGACCGCGTCCCTTGGGAGCCCCTGTGGGGGGTACTCTGGGAGTATGGGGTACCAGGCCCTCAGATACGAGCTGTTAGGTCCCTGTATGACCGGTGTCAGAGCTTGGTTCTTATTCCCAGCAGTCAGTTGGGCTCGTTCCCAGTGAGAGTTGGACTCTGCCAAGGCTGCCCTTTGTCACCGATTCTGTTCATAAGCTTTATGGACAGGATTTCTAGGCGCAGCCAAGGTGTGGAGGGCATCCGTTTTGGTGGCCTGAGGATCAGGTCTCTGCTTTTTGCAGATGATGTGGTCCTGTTGGCTTTATCAGAACGTGATCTTTGGCTTTCACTGGAGCAGTTCGCAGCCGAGTGTGAAGCAGCTGGGATGAGAATCAGCTCCTCTAAATCCAAGACCATGGTCCTAAGACGGAAAAGGGTAGCATGCCTTCTCCGGGTCAGGGATGAGGTCCTGTCCCAAGTGGAGGAGTTTAAGTATCTCGGGGTCTTGTTCACGAGTGAGGGAAAGCTGGAGCGGGAGATCGATAGGTGGATTGGTGCTTCATCTGCAGTGATGCAGGTCTTGTACCGGTCTGTCGTGGTGAAGAGAGAGCTGAGCCGGAAGGAAAAGCTTTCGATTTACCGGTCGATACATTCCTACCCTCACCTATGGTCATGAGCTTTGGGTAGTGACCGAAAGAACAAGATCGTGGATACAAGCAGCCAAAATAAGTTTTCTCTGCTGGTTGGCTGGGCTCTCCCTTAACGATAGGGTGAGAAGCTCTGTCATCCGGGAGGGGCTCGAAGTAGATCCACTGCTCCACCACTTCGACAGGAGCCAGTTGAGGTGGCTTAGGCATCTAATTAGGATGCCTCCTTGATGCCTCCCATGGGAGGTTTTCCGGGCACGTCCAAGTGGCTGGGGAGAGGGAATTCTGGGCATCTCAACTTAAACTGCTGACCCGGCAACCCGACTCCGGATAAGCAGAAGGTGGATGTATGGATGGATGGATGGATGGATGGATGGAAGGATCTAGAGTAGGTAGCATTTACAGAGGTGCTCAAAGTATTTATATCACAATGTGTCGAGATTACAAACGCATGCATACAAAATTATAACACATTCAAATCCGTTAGAAGTCTGGCTGACGGTGAAGTTCATCAAACACTGCTGTTACACACAGGAATTCCTTGGTTTGAAAATGCATGGTTGCTCTTGTGTTTTATTAGATGAGGAATAAATTAATTTCCTGAAGGTCTACATTTACAACTATTCCGTGGATCTTTTCTTTCTCTCTACACAAAAACAACAGAAACACTGAGACATGACTTAGGTGGAGATGGCAATATAAACAGAAAATGGGGTGTTTCTACTCTTATAAAAACTCCAATCCAATGGTGTGACATTGTAAACACGATTTTACTGTTCTCAACATCACCATCAGTTCTACATCACACAGTGATCTAAGTGAATTCTGGAGTTCTTTGCAGAAAAGTCATCATCAGCAGGACCTGCAGTGGGATTATCAGAGTATTTCTGATGGATTAAGTTTAAAATGACAATCATGTGGTGTAAAAAGGTTGTTAAATTTTAATTAAAAATACTTTTTACACAACCCTTTCAACCAAACTGTTAAAAACAGGAAGCAAAGTTTAAAAATAAACGCAAAGTAATATACATCTAGAAGAGAGTGTTAAACTAAAAAAGTTTTAATTGAATTAGAAAAGCGAGTAAAAAGTTTCCCTGAGCTTAAGCATGACTGTGTTCAGGTAGTTTCCCGACACTAAACCGGGGCTACGCTGCTGTTTGTTACTGCCTTGCTTTTTCTCCAAATGACCCAGATGGTTCTGCATGCATGTCTATTGCATCATGGACACATGATCCTCATCCTCACACAAACCCCATTCCATCAAATTTGTACTAAAGTCAGTGAGAAATAATGAACTCTCACAGACCCTCTCTTGCCTCGGTGTCCCTCTTCTGCCTTCCCTCCCTCCCATAGCCCTCCCTCCTTTTCTGTCTCAGTGAGAAAGCTCGACTTCTCCAGAGGCAGTTCAGCAGTGGAGAGGAGGGAGGTCTGTAATGGATTTAAGACTCAATTTTTAATTCATACATTAAGACATTTGCTCAGAAGACAGGGAGGATAAAAAGGCACATGGAGCCACATTAGAGTTCATCTTCTGCACTTTTTTGAGTCAATTTTCTGATACATTTGGATTTAAAGCAGACTTGTTAAAATATGACTTTTACTATTCTGATTTATGTCACGCTGTGTCCCATTGGTCTTTATTACTACCAGCCATGGACGTAATTTTCACTTTAGAAGTGGGGGGGACACGGGGGTGGGGGTATGTTTACAGTATGTTCTAATGGGAAACAGGCTTCAACACAAACGGTTGTTTTCTGCTTGGTCCTAGAGCTCAACCAGTGTCACTTTAATACAGCGTAATATTGTTTTTGGATAGTAAAAAGTGCAGGCGTCAAAACTTGACTTTGGAAAAAGTGTGGGGGGACATGTCCCCCCCCCCCAAAAAAAAAATTTACGTCCATGCTACCAGCTTTAACCATTTGTAACACATAACCATCTTTTCTTTGCTTCAGTAAAAGTGATTTAAAATTGGGACATTTTCTGCTCTTTGCTGCTTGGCCTACTTCCAGATCTGGGTGTTGTCACAATGCTCACTGAACTGGAAACATCATGACCCAGACTCAGTGGTTCTGGAAACTAATGAAGCACCAACAACAGACACATGTGCTTCTGTTTAATAAAGATGTTCTGGTTAGATATATTATATTGGTTTATTTAGTAGATACGTTTACCAGAGTTAATAAAAGGGGAGACTTGCTTAGAGCGGTGTTCTTTTAGACAAGAAATTTTAATTTAGTCTTTTGACTTTTTAAATTTAGTTCCATTTAATTTAAATTTATTGTCCCATTTGTTTTATTTTTAGTCTTATTTTAGTCAACCAAAATATGTGTATTTTTCTTTTGATGCAATCATTTTCAACTTATGTAAAGGAAATGTTAACGACACCTACTTGAAACAGTAAAAAAATATGTAATTATCAAATTTCACACTTGGATCAATAAAACTTTATGTTTATAAGGGTTTTAATAAAAATATTTATTAGAAAACACCAAAAATGAACACGGACATTTTGAAACTGTGCCTTTCAAAAATAATAAAATAAACAAATCTGTATAATGTGTGGTAATATTTGTAAACATGACAGGAAATGACATCGTGATCACATGGCTTCTCCTACCACTGCAGTGCCAACGACACTCAGCTACATCTGTCATTCTCGCCGAACAACCACACAGTCTCCGCACGAATCTCAGACTGTCTCTCTGACATATCAAGATGGATGAAATCCTCTCAGAAAGCTATAAAGTCAACTCAACCTCTCTAAAACTGATTTACTGAATTACTTGTTATCCAGCGAAACCATCCTTACGGCACAATCTCAGTCCAAAATGATTCTCTATCTCTGGCTTCTTCAAAGACAGTTTAAAATTTGGGAGTTGTGATTGGTGACCGGCTGACCTTTAAAGATCACGTTGCCTCTGTCGCCCCTTCATGCAGTTTCGTGCTGTATAACATATTAAAGATCGGACCGTACCTAACACAATATGCCACCTAGCTGCTGGTGCAATCTACTGTCATCTCCTGCCTCAACCACTTCAGTGTCCTTCTAACTGGTCTTCTACTCTGTACTGTGAGACCTCCTCAAATGGTCCAGAATGCAGCAGCGTGTCTGGTCTTCAGTCAGCCTAAAAGAGCACATGTCACCCCTCTCTTCACTGAGCTCCATTGGCTACTGTGAGCTAAACGCTAAAGTCCTGGATGGTACGGCTCCCATCTACCTGAATCCTCTTGTAAAGACTTACGTCACGGCCCGGCCGCTCTGGTCATCGAAGGATCGTCAGCTAGCGGGGCCTACACCACGCTCAGGACAATCCATACCTTTTTCATGTGTCGTTCCACAGATGTGGAATGACCTACCAAGCACTACCAGAACAGGGTCCTTGTCGATTTTCAAGAAACTTCTGAAGACCCTGCTCTTCAGAGAGCATCTTCTAAACTAGGGCCCTCCCTGTACCCCCCCCCCCCCCCCCCTACTGTCCACTCCTTGTTCATTTTCCTTTATTATTCATTATGCTGCCTCACTGCCACCTAGGACTGACTGATTAGTGTTTGTTGTTAGCCTCAAGGGCAAGCTCCTGGCTTCATTATCACATGTAAGTCCCTTTAGACAAAAGCGTCTGCCAAATGCATAAACATAAATATCATACCATCAAATATTAAATTGTATTACTCTGAAGGTAAATCAAAGGTAAGCATTGTTTTCAGGCGTATTTATTAGTTTTTATTAGACAGATTGATCAAGGTGGGTCACCTGAATGTTTCTCTATACAAAAGCACTGCTAGAACACTGAACACTGATCATATTGGTGCAGCGAAAATAAAAACGATCACTAAATTCCTTTGGCTGGATAAACCTCCACGAATTAGCTTAAAAACACTTCAGAAGACTAAAGAATGAGGAGGACTGGACCTACTCAACTTTTATTATTATTTCTTAGCCAACAGGCTGCAATATATACCAAGATGGTTGCAAGATAACCCACTAGATTACCCTGGTTAGACATAGAACAGACCCTTTGCAATACGATAGAGCTTTCAGACTTACCATTTATTAGCTCAAGCATAAGAAAACATGAAAGCTTCAAAAGTATTAGTATCAGCACCTCTCTGGTAGCATGGTGGGAGTATTTACAAATGACAGTCTTCACTAGTGCCATGCAGACGCACACCTATCTGGAATAATCCTGATATTTTGCAAAATAACAAAATGATGAACCTTCCGGACTGGAAAAACAAAGGAATCCTATACCTGGAACACATATATGAAGGA